TTGGAGGAAAGGAAAAAGGAGATGAAAGGAATTGCTCTGGCTTTATGCCAATGGAAAGACGGAAATATGTGGTACGACGGAAAATAATAGATCCCAGAAGAAGAGGGGATAAGGACAGACATCATATGACAACACCATGATATCCGAACGGCAGGACACGGAGGAATGGCTAAAACCATGGAATTCATCACGAGGTCATTCTATGGGCCAGGACTGCACGAAGATGTCAAACGATATGTCAAAAACTGCGACATATGCCAAAGGACGAAAACGGCTAAACACATACCATATGGATTACTAAAATCAAACGAAGTTCCCGAACAACCATGGAAAACAATTACTATGGATTTCATCACAGACCTACTGGCATCGGAAAATTGCGATAGCATCCTGGTCGTGGTGGATCGTCTGATCAAAATAAGTCATTTCATTCCAGTTAGAAAAGATATCAACATGAGAGATTTTATACAAACATTCTTCAGAGAGGTCTTTCGACTTCACGGCCTCCCAAAGAATATCATTACCAATCGAGGAACACTATTCACATCGGGACAATTGAAGAAAGTAACCAGAGAAATGGGAATACAAAACAGAATGAGCACAGCGTTCCACCCACAAACGGATGGACAAACGGAATGGGTAAATGCGATACTCAAACAATATTTAAGGGCTTACATCAATTATCAATAAGATGATTGGTACAAGCTGCTATCTATGGCCGAATTCGCATACAACAATGGAAAGCAAGAAACAATCGGCATGACATCCTTCTTCTTCGCTAATTATGGACAACATCCACAAAGTCAGACCACATATCATACGATTAATGATGTGATACCGGACAAAACCCATATGGGGAAACTACACGAAACATTACAATACGAAATGAGTCAAGCACAACAACAACAGAAGGAACAATACGATAAGCACCGAAGACCAGATCCAAACAGACAACTCGGAGATATGGTATGGCTAATACCAAGCAATATCCAGACAACGCGACTATCAAAGAAATTGGACTACAAGAAAATAGGACCATTCCAGATACTGGAAAAAGTGAGCAGTCAAGCTTATAAACTCGACCTTCCCCCCTCAATGTGAATACACAACATATTCCACATCTCACTCCTTGAATTACACAATGACAATAAGTTTCCTTCACAAACACTTATTCCTCCCCCTCCGATCGAACTAGTTGGAGAACCAGAATACGAGCTCGACAAAATAGTCGATTCCCGCTTCTTCCACAGTTACCTCCAATACCGAGCCAAGTAGACAGGATATTCTCCCAAACACGATAAAACTTGGTACTTCGCACACAACTTCGAAAACTCACAAGATGCCATCTCAACCTTCCACCAGCGATACCCAGGCAAGCTCGGCCCAGGTGACGATCACGTTCAACCAAGATAAAGGTGAGGAAAAGACTCCCGCACTGTTGCAATAACACGAAGGCTGGGGCGATAGCCCGCGCCAAACCACACCTACTTGCCCCGAATACTTATTCATGAGGCTAACCGACGAAGAACCTAAGGAGAGGGAACAACAAGCATAGCATAACGCCATGTCATGGACGGTATGCTACGATGACGGTTGCCAAACACACTATGGCGACAAAGAAGGCTCAGGATGGTTCCAAAGGAATGTCGAAAGCGTGGCCCACGCCCGGACTACGTTGTGAAGCACTGGCAACAATTCTTCAGAAATCGGTGCAGGATGCACAGGGTACAAAAAATATCTGCAGGATTCTACCTGCAAAAGGATGGAAGCAGGAAAGAGTGAGAAGGGGAGGATGCCAGAAAGGCATGTGCCACGAGGACGCGGTCCAGGGAGGGAGGGGCTCAAAACACCTCAGCAGACACAGAACCGGACGTCAGGAGCCTACACAGGTAGATCCGGGGACTCCGAGAACAACTTGGCCAAGCCGAGGCCACAATTTCGGCAAACAATAAAACGATCGCAGATCTAAGACAGCTGAACGATAACCAGTGTCACACAATCGAGATGGCGAATCTGACCCTAGAATCGGTAAGGGTCAGATGGACGACGGCAGACGAAAAGTTCCACAAAGCTGAGAAGGACCATGTGCTCGGCAGGACGGGAACCATTGAAGCTAGGAGAAAAAAAGCCTGACGGGACTCAGGCTTAGGAGGAGGGGAGCTAATGTCACGAACGTGGCTTTGCATGGAAAAGGTTTTCACGTGACACATGTTTATGAGTCACAGGTATGTTATTGTTTTACGCATATGACCCATTCGGGTTATATGATTTGTTATGTGTAGGATTTGTAATGCTTTTACACATAGCTCAAGTATGAGTCATGGGACGTGTACCTGGCAAATATGCCTTGCGAGTTGCCTTGCAGGTAAGCCTTACGCATATGATTTATGTTTTGCACATGACCTCGTTATGAGGTCATGGGTTTCGCACATATGACTCAGTCGAGTCATATGACTTGTTTATTGTGTTATGATTGGTTTATGAGTTTTTGCACATAACCTCGTTACGAGGTCATGGGTTTGGAGCATGTGATCACTTTGGTCACATGACTAGGGGCAGGAAGAACACTATATAAGAAGGCTGAGGCGGCCGAGGAAGATAGGTTCTTCAAGCTTTGTTCTAAGTACTTTTCCTACTTATTACTTTAACGAATATAAAACATCTTTACGATCTTTATCTTTATTGCACCGTTATTATTATGCCAAGAAAAGTCCTTCATGAAGAAGAGTTAGAGAAAGCTTACAATAGGCGTTCCCGATAGAAGACAAGGGTCTTGTACTATCGGTAATGTAGGCAGAGGCCTAGAGCTATCGTAAGACAAAGAAAGAAGAAGACAGAAAGAGAAGTATCGTTCCCCGTCACCAAGAACTAACTATCCAGAGAGGGATTGTTACACCTGGCCCCAATTTTGTTGTACGTGGAATAAGTAAGGAAGATGATGGCGGTGCGAATTGTCTCCGCCATTCCAGAGAATAACATCGCTACGGCAATGCTTCCATTGTCATTCTCGACAGGTAGGGACTTTAGGTTCCCCACCAACTGGAGGTTAGCATTTGATAACAATAAGGAGGGAATGAGACCGAAGATATGGGGTTCAACGGCTACAACCACTGCACAGGTACGACTTCCAATTGACGAAGTAGCCGCCGTGGCATCAATGGTGCTAGAGGATGGCGCCACACCAATGTGACCTTCAAGACTCCTTTTAGTTACTCCTGCCCAGGCCGAGGCTCACTTCAAGGCCAGGGAGAGAGTTAGGAACGAGACACATAAAAAGTGGGTGGAATGGCAGTTCCTACCTTACTACAAGTATAGTCCTCCGTTTAGGAAATGCTAGTATTTTATGACCCTCCCTAAGTTTTTGGCCTCCAGACTTCATCAGATGCGGGCGAACAAAAGTTACCTCGCAGCTCAAACAGACTGGTCTAATCAGGGCCGGGACACAATCTGTGGGAGGTGCCTTGAATACCCGGAAACTTTTGACCATGTTGTGTAATGCTCGGCTCTCACCGAGTTAAGAAGAAACATCCCGCCCCAGGTTTTTAACGTGGGTCCGGAGTCGAAACTGTGGAAGGGTGATAAGGCTGGTGTAACGATCCCTCCTTGGATGGTTAGTTCTTGGCGACAGGGAACGATACTTCTCGTTTCTGTCTTCCTCTTGTTTCGTCTTACGATAGCTCTAGGCCTCTGCCTATGTTACCGATATTACAAGACCCTTGTCTTCTATCGGGAACGCCTATCGTAAGCTTTCTCTAACTCTTCTTCATAAAGTGCTTTCCTTGGCGTAACAATAACTTTGCAATAAAGATAAAGATTGTAAAGATGTTTTATATTCGTCAAAGTAATAAGTAGGAAAAGTACTTAGAACAAAGCGTAAAGAACCTATCTTCCTCGGCCACATCGGCCTCCTTATATAGTATTCTTCCCGCCCGTAGTCATGTGACCTAAAGTGGTCACATGCGCGAAACCAAATCATAACAAACTAGTCATGTGACCAAAGTGATCACATGCTCAAAACCCATGACCTCATAGTGAGGTCATGTATAAAAACTCATAAACCAATCATAACGCAATAAACAAGTCATATGACTCGACTGAGTCATGTGCGCGAAACCCATGATCTCATAACAAGGTCATATGTAAAACATAAATCATATGTGCAAGGCTTACCCGCAAGGCACCCTCGCAAGACATACTCACCAGGCGCACGTCCCATGACTCATATTTGAGCTATGTATAAAAGGATCACAAATCCCACACATAACAAATCATATGACCCGAATGAGTCATATGTGTAAAACAATAACATACCTGTGACTCATAACCATGTGTCACATGAAAACCTCTTTTATGCCAAGCCACATTCGTGACAGCGGGCAGGAATCTGATGGGAGATTTTCTCTCTTATATGATGGAGAATAGGATTAACTTTCTGGTGAAGATGGGGGTTTTTCTGTTTACGAGGAATGCTGATTTGGCATCATGATGATATGTAATGATTTTCATTTGTGACAGGACTTGTTTAGTGATTTTTATCATTTATTTGTTTGTTTTGGGGGTGAATGAAGTTTCTTTTGTTATGTTAAGGAGGTTTTCAGGCCATACCTTAGGGTGCTTGCCATGGATTTTCCCGTAGTTAGCTACAAATAAACCGCGGATTTAACAAAAAAAAAAAACCCCCAGGGTGAAAACCCAGCGTCTTTATTCTAGTTTGCAATGTGATGAGTTAACTCTTGAGATGCTAATTTCATAATTTTCCGAACGCCTGAATGCCAAAGCGCCTCTAAAGCGCAGGATACCTTTGATCATTTACTTGTAATAGTACGAGTACTCGAGTACTTATAAATTATGATACTTGAAGCCTACGGGCCGCAGGCCGCATCTTAAGCAGAGGCTCAGCCACATGTCTGCAGTTGAGGCTGAAGCTGTGGATGTGCGAAATCAACAGGCTCAGTCCACTGGCAAAACCAGCGACAGCAGCAGCAGCAGAAGCAGCGGCACCCAGGAAAAAAAGGGAGCTCCAAATCCCACCCAATTTCTCCCATCATAATTCTTTTTTTATTTCTATCCCCTACCTTTACCCGCACTACCGGTATCTTACCGGTATTTTTCTGTTCCGTTTACTGTACTTCGGGCGCTCGTGTTCCTACATTCCTCTCCCATCTACCGGCGCTCTCCCCCCTTTCCAACAAGAGACACGAAGTGGCTCTTCAGTTCATCGAACCCGCCAGCTGCGGGTCCTTGACGTCACGCTAGATACCTTGCCAAACCCCAAATGCCCTCCCCACGCAGACTAAAATTAATAGCCGTAGCGGCGGTAACGATGTTTTTGATTGTTATCTACTACAACGTGCTTCTTTCCCCCCTTCCCCCTCCCTTCATCGCTCCATACCTTTCTAACGAAGGAGCCCAAACAGAGCGGAAGAGATGCCGTCAAGAGGGAAACATACATGCAAACCATGCAAAAAGCCGCCCTGGACCGGGAGAACGCGGGCGTGGGAAACCGCCTCCGCGAAGCAGCCGATGCAGCGAAGAAAGCAGCGGACATGAAGGCCGGGCCAAAACCTGATTCTCCGAGGGCAGTGGAGGCGGTCATGAAGGGTCGATTGGAACAGGGGCCGATCGGGAAGGAGGGGGGTGATGGGGGTGGGCACAGCGCTATAGATGAGTTGGCAGGGATATTGAAGAGGTCGCCTAGTATGTTCTCCTTCCCCTGCTAGCTGTAACACTGACAGAAGCTAACCTCCAAACCCCAAGTAATCATCTTCTCAAAAACCTACTGCCCACACTCCCGCGCCGCAAAGGACCTCTTCCTGCACGCCTACAAGATCGTGCCCGCGCCCCACGTCGTCGAACTAGATAGCCATCCCCACGGCGCGGAATTGCAGGACTTGCTGGCGAAGCAGACTGGGCGGCGGACCGTTCCTGTGGGCTCCATCCTTCCTCCCCTTCCTTCATACCCTGGGAGAAGCTAATTGTGATGGCGGTTGGTGGCAGAACATCATGATATCTGGAAAATCCATCGGCGGAAACGACGACGTGCAGCAACTGGAGAGGGAAGGGCGATTGGGCGATACTATACACAGCATGGGCGGAAAGCGGATTATGAAGGTGTTGAAGCTTAAGGAGTGATCCTCCAATGCTTCTGTTTGTTTCCTTGTTCCATTTGTTTGTTTGTTGGAGGTGAGGATGGCGGGGGGTCTCGAAGGTGTATTCTTAATCACGGTTGCCTGTTGTTCCTTGCTGCTGCTGTGAAGCGCTGGTCGGTGGTCTCGATAGGAATGAGAAATAGGCGGTGGGAATAATAGAAGACTGCGGGGATGGTATAATGAAATGTGTTGCAGATGGGTTAATATACTGAATTCAATGACATGCTTACAACCGTACGGGAAATTGCAGCGCAGATCCCAAACAATAGGGACAGGGTATGCGTTCCGGCTCATATATATTCAAGGAAGCACCAATATGGTGATGCAGGTATTCACTTGGCACTTGATGACTCCTAATACTACGAGTACTAGTACCGTATTGTGTGCACTTACCCACCCCCACACCTTGGATCATTTCCCTCATATCCTACATACACAGCGCATACTTCGCGAAACACACAACACTCTCGCTGCTACTATGGGCACCAGTACCAGTATCCTCACAGAGCACACTGACCAGCGAAAACTCCCACAGATAATGGCGATCACCTGCACTTACGAACTCATGCCGACCAAACCCTGACTCATAGTGAGGAATGCGGTATCGGTACTACTTTTGGGGTACAAGTATATGTAGGGTATGATACAAGTACGCAGAGTGCAAATAAAACGTGAATTATGTACCCGCGCAGAGTCATAGCCTCGATAAATAATCTCTATCCCCCCCCCTCGAAGAAATGAAAAAAATGGTGAAAAATTGAAATTTGTACGCCGCGTAACCAGTCAACCAGTCACGTAAGCATCTGCGGTACGGGTATTTTCTTCCCTTTACACCTCTCTCTGCGACGGGGGAAGGGGGGTGGATGAGTGTATAAAGGCTTCCTTTGCCGGGCATGTCTAGGAGGGGACAGGAGAGCTGTGATGAAGATACCCACGATATGCTTCACTCGCCGATATCCAGCCTTTGCGGAGGTGAATGGAATTAACTAGGGTTGACCTGAGCTTGCGGAAGGTCGAAGGCGGTGGTTGACGAGATTAGGTAACAATGAGGATGGGGGATCCTTTTTTTAAAAATTTTAATAGTAAATTATGGTATGTTTTTTTTCTGGTGTCATATATATCGGAGTTTTGGTGGTAGCGTGATGGTGTGGTTCTGATCGTCTGTGAGATGCCCATGACCAGAACTAGATTATTTTGTAAACACCGTAAATACCCTAGGCATCGTGGCTATTTTAGAAGGAATTGGTGAGGTGGCATTTCAAGCTCCGCTAGGTTTGAGATATCGTGCTTCACGGGCATGCCGAAGAAATCAGCCGCTTGAATCCATTAGAACACAAAGTTGCAAACTACTGTAGGATCCAACTCTATCAAGTGCCAAATGCCCCGGGAGAACCCTGATCTTCTATCCTTCGAGACGACCTCTAACTCAAAACCCAACTACAACACGGATCACTGAATAGCCGACTCAAGCGTTCCTCTGCCGAAGCCTGTAACCCCTAAACAAAATCATTAGAATACCACTCAGACCGATAAGACAACCACCCCTACCAAACCGCTAACAAACACTCATCCTGCATAATCAGACTTGCCTTTTGAACCGATCACTGCTGCCACTCTGTAGGCCCTCCTGCGCATTTCACAGTCCAGAGTTCGGCTAGGTTACATCCCCCGGACGGAAAACTAACCTTGGACCCAGACTTCTGAACCGAAGAGACGGCAATGGGGCCTCAGAGGGCTGGAGGGTATTGCCACTCCACTCCGAGCTCAGCAGTATCTGAGGTTCTCATCACTTTATGCATTGGCTCGGACGCCCTTTGGTCTGTAGGCATCGGGAAGCAGTTTGGGTGGGGGGTTTGTGATAGAGCATGGGGCGACGGGGGGTTATACTTTCATGTTTGACTGCAGATCAAAGCCCTGATCTCGCCATTAGATTGGTCGAGAGTGCGATTCCCGATAGAATTGATTTTTGATGCCATCAGGTTAGGTCTCCCGGTCTGCAGTACGGCCGGTGTCTTGCTATGGAAGATCAAGAGTTGACGCAACAAGCAATTAACGAAGAAAGCTCGAAGGCGCCATCAGTCTCTTTGCCCATAGAAAGTCACTGGTGTTTGTAGAGTCGCCACAGATATCAAGTCCAAAGAAAGGGGTTAAAAAATCGGAATCGAGTTGGTACAAGCACCAAAAAGATGCAGGCGCCTCTTGGACTTCAATACTTGCTCATCCTGCGCCCGCCAAGAAGGGGCCGTGCAATCTGATAAGATAGATTAAAGCTGCGCCACTCAAGCAGATGAAGCCGCAGACTGCCCCTCCCCCACCTTCACAATCTTTAGTGCTTCACTCCTAATCAACCATCCCCTCAACTCTAAATGCGACTCCAAAAAGTCACCTCCCTCCCGCCGCAAGCGGAGCGAGTCTGGCAAGTCGCAATTCATCCAACCCTCCCCCTCGTGGCCACCGCCTCGTCCGACAAAACTGCCCGTGTAATCTCACTACAAACCTACAACTCTCTCTCAACAATTGAAGGTGGACACAAGCGCTCTATCCGGAGTGTCGCCTGGAAACCCGGCCTTACGGGCGAATCCGTTCTCTGCACTGGCTCCTTCGACGCAACGATCGGTATCTGGCGGCGGTATGAACATGACCTAGACGCTGGCAATGGTCAAGGAGGAGATGAGGAAGAGGAGGAATGGAGATTTGCTCTTGTATTGGACGGTCACGAGAGTGAGGTTAAGAGTGTCGCCTGGAGTGCCGGTGGAAATTTCCTGGCTACTTGTAGCCGTGACAAGACTGTCTGGATTTGGGAGGAGATTGACGAGGATAACTTTGAGACGTTGGAGGTTATGCAGGAGCATACCCAAGATGTCAAATGTGTGACTTGGCATCCTGAGGAAGTCCTGCTTGCGTCTTCTTCCTATGACAATACTATTAGACTATATCGGGAAGGTTCTGAAGACTGGGTTTGCTGTTCGCTATTGGAGGGCCATATAGCTACCGTTTGGACTGTCGAGTTTGAAAAGCCTTCATCTCCGAGATATCGCGAAGAGTGGGGCTCCCGGCTTGCTAGTTGTTCGGACGACCTATCAATAAAGGTTTGGACTCGGATATCGAGATCTGGTTCCGCGGCCGAAGCAAAGAAAGCCCCACCGAGTATTCTACGTGGAGAGTCGATCGAAGAGAATTGGGCCGAGACCTCTACGCTTCCTCAGGTTCATACACGAGCGGTATACAAGATTTCCTGGAGTTCAAAGAGTGGAAGGATAGTGAGTTGTGGTAGCGACGGAAGGATAGTTGTTTACGAGGAGATATCCACCGTTGATACTGAAATGGTCGAGAGTGATGAGAGGAAGCCACCAAAGACAGAGTGGAAGGTAGTGGCGGAGGTTGGAGGCGCTCACGGCGTATTCGAGGTCAACTGCGTGCAATGGAGTAAACGGTGGGACAAAGACACAAAAGGCGAGAACGACGAAGTTATCGTCAGCTGTGGAGATGATGGGGTCGTGAGTATTTGGGAGTTGGCAAATACATAAGTTTCTTGTCTAAAGGTTCTGATAGATTATAAACATAATTTTGTCAAACTGAGTATTGTTACTACCGGTACCATGTGCTGTACAGTACAAGTACGGGCAGGCAACAAATGTCAACGGCAGCTTAAGCGCACCACACCAAAAGTAGCCGACTTCAGGTGAATTTCCTCCCAAGGCTACCCAAAGATAACGAAAATGCTGGTGTCATACCAGCTTCTGAATGTTTTCATACACAAAGGCTTAGATCTAGCAATGATAAATTGATGTTTCAGCAGTTAAAGTTATTCAATGGAAGTTGAAAAATGACCAAAAACCACAGTTTCCCATACAAAAAGCACCAAAGCCTAATGTCACCTTTGCTCTTTAGCCAATGGACATCCCAGAAAATGAGATATTTATTTGTGACAGCCTGAAATAGAACCCAAGGAATTCCCTTGAACATGCAGTAAATTTTGGGTTTCATTGATGGAATAGAGGTGGTGTATAATGTCGTCGATACTACTTTGGGTGTAAAACGCACTTTTACTGTATTGTACTGGCGATTTCCGTTACCAGCTTCTTACTCGGGTACTGTACCATAGCACAATTTTGGCCCAGAATGTCATCAGTACTTAAGTATCATAATTGACAGGAATCATGGTTTGTCATTTTACACCAAAATGAGCAGCTTTAATGACCTACAGCTCAGCCAAAAACATCATAGGGTTAAATCAAAGTAGCGTTATGGGCTTCACAATTGCTCAGCTTTTTTCAGTATCATACAAACTTAGTATCATAATTTTTGTCACCCCTATGTGAGTATTGATAGCCGAAGGCTTAGCCTATAGTCTACGGTGTCGCAAAGTACTTTTTCTATTTTCTATGGAAGACCAATATAAGATTCAAGGAATCTTTTGCCCACTCCCAATACTCCTGGTATTATGCTTTTGAGAACTAGGGTTTGATTTTTTGTCAGAACGAATTCTATATACCTCTAAAGGATTTAGTGGTAGAAGATCAAAGATTATGGCTGTAAAGTTGTTTACTTTTGGTGTAAAATTCCAAATTACTCATGACCTTTTGCCCCAAAATCGGGCTTTGGCTAAAGGCACGGCAAGTTGACAGAGAATACCGGTAATTCACTTGAGTTGGCTTTATCCACGTTTCAACAATCTGTGATCGCTGGTGATAATTTGTGATGCGGTAACGTCATGCGGCTCCGTAGCTCGCCTACAGGTCCCCTACCCCGAAACAGAAATTCCTAACCACACCTTTCGCAGCTCTCACAAACCAATAATGGCATCACCTCCATTCTACATCCCATTTGCCCACTGGGACTCAACCCCGTTTCAACCTCCGTACACCCCGGTCACCACTTCGAAGTTCCTCACGGGATGGCTTGTTTTAGGCCTGGCCAACGGCGAGCTTCTAATTCTTTCTACAGCTACCGATGATCCCATTCCACGAGCTCGTCTCTGCGGTCACAAAGATCCGGTGGTAGCATTAGAACCCCTCCTCGTCCGCACAGAAACAACCGAACAAGAGTTATTACTTTCACTGGATTCTGTAGGGACATTGTGTAAATGGTCTCTAGCAGACGGTCGATGTCTACAGAATGTCTATTCGACAGTCTCGTCCAGACCACGGGGGCTACGGATTGTTAAGAAGCAGAAAGCTGACGCTAAGGATCCAGTTGTGATGATATATGGGGCTAGTACTGAGATTTTAGTTCTTAACGCGGAGACCCTAGAGACGGTGCTCTTGTGGACAGGTAACCTGGATTGGCCCTTCCCGGTTGTCAGCGGTAGGAGTAGGGTAATGACCTTATTACCTGATGGGCAAATCCAAGGATGGGGCTTGAATGGTCGGAGCATAGGAGAAGATGGAAGAGGAAGATTGGCGCTGGCGATGGAAAGGGATCATACCAAACAGCTCTCGGCGGAGATCAAGGAGGACATGGGCAGGATCAGAGGCTTTGAAAGAGTTTCTGAGAAGGGTTATGTGATAATCCAGAAGACTGGTGTTAGCTCCTATGTGCTTGAGGATACAAAGTTCGCGCTCAAAGAGATCATGTCGGTGGGCTTGGAGGTTGGTATCGCCGGATACCAGATAGTTCCTAAGAAAGGAGTTAGGAAAGCCTTGGTTATGGCTTGGTCAGAGGATGGCCAAATCAGACTCTTCGAACTGGGTGAAAATATGACCTTTGGCCACAGCATCAAGCTGTCATTGAAACCTGTACGAGGCAGAGGCACAGTAATTTCGATGGCATGTACAAGACAGGAAGACAAGTATCTTATCGCAGCATTTAGTCATCTCTGGTCGGATTCAGGGCGGCAAAGAGCTCATGGAGATTTTCTGACGGGCGTGTTCTCAACTAATGCCGCCAGGATGGACATAGAGTGGATGGAGAAAAATAAAGGTGTGCTTACTTCAAATGTCCATACAAAGCAATTAAACTATGGTATATGAAACAAAAACTAATGAAAATTCGTAAACCAAATAGCCCTCACCTCGTCTTCCTTGATCCAAGATGATATCACGTCATCCTGTTCAGGTATATTTGCCAATATGCTAGCGATCGCTTATGGGTCCAATATTCGCCTTCACTCTTTGTCCTCATTTTTACTCTCATATCATGATCCCATCAAGGAGATACATATACCTACCACTGCCCGTATTTGCCTTCTTAAAAGGGTGAGGGTTGGCGAACACGTTGCACATGGCAAGGACGCCGGAATAAAGGGCGGGAAAGAATATCTCATTGTTGGAACTACTAACGGAGAGTTGTTCATTATTGAAGCACCGTACGTCCCGCCCTCCCCTCTCCACTAATCACCTTATCCTAACATGACCGTGCATGATAGCTCATTCCAACTATCGAAAAGACTCCCAATATCATCTACAACAGTGCGCTCCGCTAATCTTCTCCTATCAAACCTGGGTAAGAGACTACGCTTTGCTCTCATCGCCTCCTCAGCAGACGGAACTACCACTATAGTAGATGTAGAACGCGCTCACATAATGGTCACTTTTCCGAGCCACGATTACACTCCCCTTGTTTCATACGCCACCAAGACCGCGCAGAACATAATCCTTCTAACCTACGAAGATTACGTACGTCGGGAGTGGGATTTAGGTGAGGAGGATGGAGGCGTGCTTAAGGCGCATCCATCATCTCGCGGGAACGATAGAGATAGAGGCGCTCTGGGCACATATGAGAGAGACCTTGCAGAGGAGGGGTGGCGAGAAGTTCGCGTGGGCAAATTCGAACTAGTGGAAGAAGACAGAGAAGATGAGGGGGATGACGCAAATGGAGATGGTACCATCAAGAATTGCGAGAGGTTATGCGAGAGGGGACTTCCGGCCGCCTCCGTCAATGTTCGGGCTGTTCTGGATGCATTAAGTCATGCAGTAAAGATAGCTAAAGAACGGACACGAGCTGGCGAAAGGAGGGTCGTGGGAAATCATCCTGCCCTCATTACTGCCAAGTCACTACTTACTTCCCTCGTCCCCGGTGGCATAGAGGAGCTATTGGGCTGGGAAGAAGATGGCCATGGATGGCGAACTTCGGTTCAATCATTATTCTTCCGGAGGAAGAAGGCGGCGGTATTCGGGCAGATGGGTGCTGGGAAGAACGTATCCATACTGGTGAGGGAAGCCTCCAAAGAAACTGAGGATGGGATATTGGGTATCAGTCCTACCGTATCCGCATGTGTATTGTTGGCTGCTTTGTCCATTGTGGGCGGACTACTGGAAGCTAGTGGGAATGGCGAATTCTTTGATAATGTCATAGAAGGGGCCTTGGGTCGGTTGGCAATCACAAAGAACGAGCCTGCATTAGGGGTGTTTGCAAAGTACTGGATGGACGAGAATCGTATGTCTAAACTTTTGTGGCCTCATGAAAGCTTAATCGACTGACAGGATCATGTAGCAATAATGCGAGCAACCGCAAGGAAATGTCTTAGTATTTCTGTAGGCACTCTATCCGAGGAGAGGCGAGCAAACACAATAGCCTACTGGGCACGTTTCTGTGAGAACCCACCCTCGGACAGGCTTCAGCTCCGGCTAACATTAAGCCAGTACCAGTGCAGGTTCCGCCGGAACTATTTTCATCAAAAGAAATGGTTCGGTCCGTTATTATTCTTGGACAGTTAATCACGGCTCACCCCGATAGTGTTGAGCAAGGGTATAACGGCATTCATGATATTCCCACCATACCGGAGGAACACACTTTCTAATTCCATGATCTAGATTGAAGAAATGCATTGCGCTGTCGGTTGAATTGCTCCTGGGTGACAGTAACCACTCGTTCCAAGACACAGCCATCGAGCTAGTGGGGCATGGTTGGACAACTTTTCAATCCCTCTTCGACCCCTTTGAAGTAATCCATATCTTGATCCGCATATCCGCCTCGACAATGGATGACTTCTCCGAAAACCGGCGAAAGACCCTCAACAAATGCATACTCGAGATAGCCGAGAAAAATTCTCCTCTTCTAGGATCTGGTCTGGCCAACAATATCTCGTACGGTTCGTCTTCTTCTCAACCTGCTGCGTTAGCTGCAGTATCGCTCTCAACAGCATTGAGTGTATCTGTTGCCGCGATGAGAATCGTAACGATGATAGTTCGTGAGGACGCAATCCTATTCCGAGACGTATTAGGTTTGATAATCGCTGCTGTCGTCAAAATATTAGACCCGAACGGAGGTCTAAGAGAGAAAGTCATGCCAACGATCACGGAATTGATTAACGAGATGGTGGAGGCGTGCGTAATTCCTGGGCCTTCTATCGGGCCATACTAATGCGGAGATTTAGGTATCCAAGCATTGCCTTCCACCGTCCAACGCAGCGGCTCGCACTGTCCATATCCCCGGGAATAATAATGATATACGATCTCAAGACCTCTGCGCAAGTGAATGCCCTACAGGGTCATCATAGCCTCGCGAACTTCCTCACCTTCTCGATCGACGGCAAATTTCTAGCGGCAGTGGACCTCGAGGAGAACATGTTCCTTGTTTGGAAGTTCGTGACCGGGCTCCTTAGCTTCATTGGTGGCGGGAACGATGGAGCCCCAGCAATATTACTACCGAAGAGGAAAGAAGCCTTCGACAACAAACGAAATGTTGGGATTGTCGAAATTGAGGTTTGTATGACCGTGCCGTGCTCGGGTGATTGAACCAATAGCTGACAAGGAACGAATGAATGCCGGCAGTGGACTGGAGAACGAAGCGTAAAAGTAACAGCCGGTGACCAAAGCACGGTCTTCCAAAATGTAGATTCTACACAGGGGAGTAGCTGGAATATATTGTAGCTTAACCATACTCGCGCAAATAGCAGAGCAGAGCATGCCAATCACACTCATACCAATGCCATACCGGTAATTTACTACTAGTAGCAGTAACCTTTCGACACGAGTTGTCCCAAAGGGAGCAAAGAAAAAAACCCCTCGAACTGTGCCACTGTACGGTACTAGTACGTACTGTATCCACCCCCCGCCGGCGGTGGGACTACCGTAACTGGTGCCTCCTCAGGCCCGAACACAGGCGGAGCCAGAGCCAACGTGCAGGATTACCCAACGGGTGGTGGGCGTCGCTACCGTAAAATGCTCGTAGCGGTGGCACAAGTGCGGGTGGTGCGCCCGGGCACTGCCGGCACTTTTAGTATAAGGGTACAGTACTCGAGTACTCGTACCGGTACAGTACCGGTAATTGTGTGCCAGGATCACAGGGTTTTACAATTATGCTCCCGTTGGAAAGCGTGCGACCAACTATCGTAAGAAGGACGAACACAATTATCCCTTGAGCGGTCTGAAACCGTCAAATTTGGTCCCAGGCATGCTAAGGCCAAATTTGGCAACAATCATCTGAACTTGGTCAGAAAATCAGATTTTCAGCCTCTCTAGTGCTCAAATGATACAGCACCCGAGACGGGATTAAATGTTCTCAGCAAATCACAAAGCTCAAATACCGGTAGTTCCACCATAGACTTAATCGTAGCCTGCCTAGGACCAAATTTGACGGTTTAAGACGGCCCAAGGGATACTGTACGGTAGCAAGAAAAAGTGAGTGATACCGGTACCGTGCTGTATTACCGTACTGTCAGTGACGGAATGTCTTGCCAATGGAGGAGTCATGATGAGTGTGGATACCGGTTCCGTAATGTTATCGGGCATGAGTACCGGTACTAGTACAGTGCCAGTACGAGCGCCCATGATTAAGTTAGGGGACTGTCAATCTATCATATGTTGAGCTGCAAAATAAGGCGAAGATTTCTCCCTTATGGTCCAGATTTGCGGTAGTTCTTGTCCTCAATGGGGTACCGGTACTTGTATCTGGACCTGCCTGTAGGTGCTCGGGTACAGTACGGTTAGGTGGTTTGGAGAGCAGGTTATGGGGGAATTTTGCTTCTCCTGTACTGTCGATACCGGTATTTTGGTTAATTGGTGGTGACACACAACATAAATTTCAGCCCTAACCTTGAAGTTCCCCTGCCATGATACCTGTATGGTATGATACCGGTACTGTACTCGTATATATGATACCATCCGGGTACCAGTATAGCACTCCCCAAGTTGCAAAGTTCGCCTCCCCCTGGACTTCCCCCTGTATACAGATACAGTACCTACCATACCACTTCCCTCGCGACCGAACTCCCACTCGAGTACAGTACCGTAGTGGTGCAGCTGCACCTACTGTACCGGTAATCAGCAGGCCCCTGTCGCAATAAATTCAGAGATATCCGTATAGATTTACGATCCTATAGTCCCAATTTTTGGATTGGAGGGGCCCATTATTGTGGGTGGTTATGGGGTTTAGGGTGATGGGGGAAGTTTGCGTTTCGGGAAGTGGCATGAGAGGTTGAGGAAGCCACCCCCCTGTTGCTTGTGATGCTATGAATAAGGGTTCAGACCCAGGAAATGCAACCCTCCACCTCTCCCGGTCTTCAGTATCGCTTCTTTTTAGAATAGGGTAAGTTACCGGTACAGTAGTTGCTTGCTCACCTCAGAGGTTTGGCCTACACAGGTATGTACTGTACTCGTACAGTATCGTGGGGTGTCGGTAGCTGTCCCTATCACCACAAGCTTTTTATCACAAACCGCCAGTACGAGTTCGAATGGCCGTCCCATTAGCCATCCTCCCGTATTCCCCGCTGGTCCGGCACGAGCCGATGATTGGAGGGTTGGCGACTTTTGCGCAGGGAATCTCTTCCCATCGCGAAGGGAAGCTGATGGTTGGTCCAGAGAGTTCAATCCTTCAGGGGGAGTCTGTGTTCTTGCAGGAACGCTATCCCAAAGTAGGTTTAGCCTGTTTCTTGATTTGAGATTGTGGGGGGGAAGTGTTCGGGTCCAAGCAATTTGCTTTGTAGGGAAAAAACGATTGAAGGGAATTCCACAGTACGCGCTCCATTGGGGGTGAAGTACCTTTTATACCGAGTGATTAGTACTCGTATCGTTATATCTCCTTTTCCCATCTAATCCGCGGCGTTCTTTTTTCTTTTTGTTTTTCATTGCAAAGGACTTGTATGTACGGGTACGAATACTCGAGTACTGTACCGGTACGAGTACTGTAGTCTACTACTACCAGTGCGAGAGAGTGTGAGTGTGGTCCTCCTCCTCCCTCCCCCCCCCAAACACATCCCAATCTTCTCCTCTTTCCTTCTTCTCCCCTCCTTTCCCTCTTTCTCGCTATCTTCACCCTCTCCTCCCCAATACTCTTTCTTCCTTTGGTGGCTTCTGTTCTGTACTGGCTTCGATTTACCATCATTCCGGGGACCCGGTGCATATATGCTAGAAGTATAGTACCTCTTGTTCTACTACTTCATAAGTGCTTATCTCATACCGGTACACCTGACACTGCCGGCGGCCTCTCCTGCATACAAAGTGCATACAACTAGTGCATTGGGGAACCTATTGTACAAGTAGACGCCCGCACTAGCCTTCTCGACCTATCCTGTGGGCATTTCCCCTCGCCTTCGTGCAATTCTCCTGCTCCTGCGACTCCTCAGGGGTGACTTTCAGCTAAAACAATCCACTTTACTCATACACCTGCGACCGACGTAAACCGTTTTGGCACGCGCGATTTGTACGTGTATAGTCCCTCTAGACTCCCGTCCCGTTTGGGGGCGTGATCGATTGTACGAATAATTGCACTCTTTTTGTCGACTTTTCTGGTGCATCGATATCGAGCCTTTTTTTCCTTTCTGTATTGCCCACTCCTCCTTACGGAAGGGGTGGAGGAAATCTTTTTCCCCCACTTGCTCTGCCCTCAATCTATGGCACGTTGACCCAAATCCGTATTATCGGCGAAGATCTTGTTCCCCTCCCTCCCCCCCTCCGATCACCTAGCATACATCTCACGAATATAATATTCTCGCGTTACGTTTATCGTTTTCCCTTTTCTGTTATCGACTGTCACGACACGGAACCGGAATTATGGCGTCCTCGATTCCAGCTACACCACCTTTACCTCCTCCACAAACCCCTCACCGGCACTCCCACCATCCGAGTACAAATCCTCGTCAGAAGCTCCAGAACCCTCGTCGTAAATCCGCTCCCTCCCACCGAGGTCACCTCTCATCTGCATCCACAGCTGCAGCTTCCCCAGAAGTCATAACCAATCTTGTTGACTCACTCAGCAAGCTTTCGCCAGGACCTCTGCATAACCCCTCACTTTACGGCTCCCTGCATGCGCCGGATATGTTCCCTCCCCAGCCATCCCCACGGGAGTTAGATTACGATTACACCGTCGGAGTTGGAGGCATTGGTCGAGAGGTTGGCTTTCTTCATCCCGACGATGCTGCGCTTGCGCCTGTGGTGAGAACCGCGAAACCTCCTAGTGGGTTTTCGGTTCACACAAATGGGTCTGGTGAGGGCGCGTCGAGGAGAAGTTCATATGCCTCCGGCATATCTGCTGGGAAAGGTGGTGTCGACATACCGAATTACGTTCGAAATTATATGAACAGGGCTGCAGGAGCCGGTGACGGCATGGCTGATAGGAGGAACTCTAGGGAGAGCAGTGTGAGTGGAAAGAGCACGAGAAGGGATGGTGGGGGGAGTCGGTTGAGTTATATGTCCTCGCGCGAAAGGATGAGGATGGAAAAGGGCCGATCGCGCGACCGTGATGTGTCGGTGGAGAGAGATAGTGAGAGGGAATTGAGGATGAGCGCTGCTGGAGTGTTGAGTGCAACCAGTGGGGGTGATTACAGAGGAAGGGGCAAGACCGAAGAAGCAGGGGGTAGACATATCCCCGAAAGAAGGAGCAGCTACGGTAAGGGATCGCCGCAAAGGATATCCAGTTACCCTGCAGCGATCGTTACCAATGTTTCACCAATGCATCCGGGTTCTCCTTTGGGATCGCCAATGTTTCCAAACCACGAGGAGGTGGATGAGGAGGACCACAACGGTGCCGCTCCAGCGCCTGATCTTCCGAGAAATCGATCCGAAAGGGATCGTAAGCGCAGTTCGAAGCAGTATCCAAAACGTGCGGACAGCTTGAATAGTGGGATGGGGCGTTCGCCTAGCAAAGCCAAGCGGAGGTCGGAACCGCAGAGCATCCTTGCGAATCAGTTTGGACAACAGCAGGCCTCTCCCCCACGCCCGTCTTTTCAAAGCGCCCCACCCGAGACGACTCATCACGAACGTCCCTCCTCCGCGGACTCTATCGATGACGCAGTTGATTCGTACCTGTGCTCTCCACGTCTTTCGCAAAAGATCCGTATGCCTACTACTGGGCGTATTATCTCGTTCTCGGAAGTTGGCGACCCCAGCGGATTCGCGGTTTTTGTCTGCGTAGGGATGGGCCTGACGCGCTATGTTACGGCCTTTTATGATGAGTTGGCGTTGACTCTTGGTCTCAGACTGATAACGCCGGACCGACCTGGTGTCGGCGAGTCTGAGGGGATTGACGAAAATGAGCGAACAGTTCTTAATTGGCCCGATGATGTGCTCTATATTTGCCAGTCACTCAAGATTACAAAGTTTTCGATATTGGCTCATTCAGCTGGCGCAATTTACGCACTTGCTACAGCATTGAGGATGCCTGGGCATATAAGGGGGAAGATTCACTTACTTGCCCCTTGGATTCCGCCTTCTCAAATTGAAGGTGTGGTCGGTACGGGCAAAGAGGGTGAGGAGAAGGTTGGAAGTATCCCTACGACACAGCGAATTCTACGAGCCCTCCCGACTCCTATCCTCAAAGCCGCCAACTCTTCATTCATGTCGGCGACGTCTTCATCACTTACTACGTCCCTTCCACGAACAGGAGGTCGTGATAGGAGTCGAAAAAACAGACGAGCCGCTTCTGCCGCAGGTGGGGATATGCGGAAGGGTGACTCTCCTGGTAAAGATAGGCCGAGCAAAGGTAATACCGACATGCCTTCCGGTCCACTCTCGCCAACTTTAGCGGTTGCAAGAAATGGAACTGGTAAGGACGGCGCTATTGTGACGACCGCTGAGAAGCCCTCTGCTGAGGACGAGGTGATTGCGGCAGCTCTCGTGTCAGCAGCAGAAAGGGAACGGCAAATGTCTTACGATGAACGACTAACTCATGCAATTTGGACGCTCAGTACGCGGAATGCTAACCCCGCTGTTGACCTGCTTGTCTGTCTTGAGAGAAACAGACCAGTTGGGTTCAGGTACGTCGACATTACGCGGGCGGTGGTGATCCACCATGGAGCAAGGGATACCAGGGTGCCGGTCGAGAACGTCAAGTGGCTCGGGAAGACTATGCGAAGGTGTGAGGTTAGGATTCTGGATGGCGAGGGCCACGGCTTGATGGCTAGCGCAGTGGTAATGGGCGGAGTACTCGACGAGATTGCAGCAGAATGGCGAGATTGGAGAAAGGTTGTCGAGGGAAGGGGAGAGATACATGTTGGAGGCCTGGAGAGAAGGTGGGCCGATTGAGCCTCACATTGATGTGTTTTTCTTTTGGAAACTTATTCTTTTTATTTTTATTTTTTAGCGATTGAGTCACGTCCGCGAACGTCTTCGCTTCATGCTTTATTTTTTTATTCCCTGCGGTCTTATGGTTTTTTTTCCTTCGGATTTCGACATTTCAAAACTAGGAATGGACGTTTTCGTTCTCCCAATCTTGAAGACAAAACGATACTTGATTTTATTTCTTTCCGTTTATATTACTTGGGTCATGGGGATATCCAGCGGAGCAGCGGGTGGTTTTCAATCTCTTGTCATATTCTTTTATATTACGATTGTAGCTCCATACTTTATTATATTATAGTTATACGCCGTGACGGCGGAACCTCGTTAGGAGTTTCCTTCATTTTTTATTTTATTATTTCTCTTGGATTAGCAAGATCATTTGAGCAATGGATTCCAGCGTGCGCTGCGTGTTGTGGATTTGTTTCTGTTGGTAGGATAAGATAGGGCAGGATGATGGCAATGTATTTCCGTTTGTCAATGGAGGCTTCGCTTGGTGTAGAGTTAGTCTAGTACTGGCGGAGGGGGGGGCATTGGCGTCTTGCACTTGGAACGTGCACCTGGCTCAAATGGCATTTTTTAAAAATTTCTTTTTATTATTGTTAGATCCGGGGTATGATTTTAGGCACGATTCAGCCCATGACAGGCAAATCCTAGGGAATATCATACAACTGACGCATTCTGGAGGGGTCCCATGGCAAATAAAAACCCAAAGCATAAACTGAAATAAACGAAGTAAATCAAAACCGAAACTAATACTACCCTACAGGTAATCGTCAGAATGAATATGTTTCTATGGGAAACTTTCATCAAATCTGAGGCTACTGGAACCGGCTCATTAGATTGGCATCCCCCACCGTATTTGAGTTACCGTACCCGACAACGGCGCATGCTCGCAACATTTGGCAGCGGTGCTTGCTTGTATTTCGAGTATGTCTTGCAGTAGAGTTAAAAATGATGGGGATGTCGGTGTAAATTGGTTTGACAGCCACGAGGAGGAAGCAATAAGGTATGATATGATGCCAGCCGGAATTGCATCTCTTGCCGTACCGTACTACCTGGGCCCGGCGCCCGCTCAAGCTGTTCGACATGTCTTTTGCGTCGGGACAACAGACTCGGGACAGAATGATGCTGGTCATTTTTTGTCCCACGGGGGGAGGGGGGGCTCCATCTCAGCACATTTGTGGAGCTCGTACGTACATGGGCCCTTTGCTATGTGTTGGGGGTTTACGCGGGGGGGGATCCACGGGAGTGGGTGATGAGACGTGGGAGAAGTGTGGGATGTCGGTTTTCAGGCCCGGGGAGCTCTGGCAGATTTGCAATGTCATGCCAACTGTGAATGCTAAAGGAAGAATTAAAGGGTTCGTGACAAAATATTCTTTTGACAATTTGAACACTCTTAAATAAAACATTATCCAATACAGATTCACTGCCGGGTTCTAGGAAGATTCTTTTAGTATTAGGGGAAAATGCTCTGGATATAAGTCTGAGAATAGCCGCAATCATCTGATTAAGTAAGCCGAACAACATTACCGACTGGAGAGAAGAAACTATAGCAAAATGGAATGACTGGATGTATTGTACTCTAGTATGTCAGGTATTAACTACTAATTTAGTAAATTTTTAGAATTGGTAAAACTATTGTATAATAATGTAGAAAGAAGTTTTCCATAATTTCATAATACTTACAATCTAGCAATCCTAGACCGAAGTACTTAGAGTGTGCACAAAAGTCTGTTTAACTTGACTCTTATAGGCTGAGTTTACTATGGGTATGCAAGTTATCTGCATGTCCAATTAATGAGTTTCCTTACAATTTGGTCATAGAAAAAAGTCTGTTGAACTCTTGGCATTATGCTTTCTTAAGATACATTTCTAAAAAGCTAATATGGCGTAGCATTTGGGCTTCGTTACAGGGCCCTGTTTCTCAGGAGCGGGGACAAAATAACCTCGGTTAATCTCATTAACAGTAAAAAAAAAATCAGCCAAATCAGACCAAAACTGATGGAGCTAGAGCTATTTGAAGTTGTCCAACTTCAAAGAGCTATAACTCACTCAGTTTTGGTCCGATTTGGATGAATTTTTTTAACTTGAAGTTAATAACCTGGTCTTGGTACCCTGTTTGTTAGAAATGGGGCCCCGTAATGAACGCTAGTAGCATTGCCCCCTACTGCAATTACAGCTTCCAGTCTTCTTTGCATGCTTTGAATAAGCTGTAACAGTCATTCAGGTATGATACTGTCCCATACTAACTTTAATATTATAATTAAAGTATCTTTGTTGAATTCCTGCTTGTTTATCTGCCCAAGGTCTGTCTCTATATCTGACCATAAAGCTTTGAATAGATTTAAATCGGGTGACTGGAGAGGCCATGGAATATGATCTATTATATTTTGTATATAACATGATTTTGCATATCATTGATGCCCTGGGTTGGGAGCATTGTCCTCAACCACTGAGTTCATTTGTATTCCTCACATGTCTGATGCTAAAATGAAATTGGATAATGTATTATTGTTAGGAATATCAGGATCTGATACCTAGGAGTCATTCTAAGTAGGGTAACTCCACCTAGAATTGGAATCTCTGGTCTCCAATACCCCCCTCTGGCCCCCTTATGGGGCCTGCACATCATCATACCTATCAATCTTAGTTGTGTCCTGTGAATATAGTACTACAGAATTGAAGGTGTTAGAATAACACTGTATATGTCGCTGCCATCCATTCAACCAGATCCTGTTCACAGGTTATATGAGAGGAGACCTTCGGCTAAATCTGAGAAGTGAAACAGAGTAAATCCGTCAACTACTCAGAATGTGACTAGGCTTTAAAGATGTAATACCTTTGGTATGAGCCATAAGTAATGAGATGTTTTCGCACAAAGAGATGGTATTGAATAGTAAAAGATCTTAGCAAGAGACCAATACATTCATATCCACTTTACAATATCTGAAAGAGTCTAGAACCCTAAGGGACACTACTATAGAAGCTAATGGACTTCATGGAGTGTTGCAACTAGGTTTCAGAACATGTTGTAGTTACGAGGATAGCTTCCAATACTATAATAGTATTTGAAATCCTGTTACCCAGGGCAACTGTGGGTTGCCGACCAAGGAAATATTTATCAATCTGGTAGAATAGCTTTCTGCAAATTAGTAGGAAGTTCTCAGGAAGACATCTATTGGTTGTGTAAGGAGTTATAGAGGTTTAAAGTCAGATAACCTGAAAAATGTTTTTGATTACGACGATCTTCCCAGATGCAACCCGCAGATGAAACTGATCATTTCATCAATGATAGAGACATTAGAACCAACTCTGTTCGACTTGAGAACTAGGAAACAAGTCTAAAGACTCTAAGGATCGAATAACTACTATTGGGAATACATGGTTCCGAGTTAGTTATATTGGAATTGCCAAAGAGGGTGTAGTAATTTTCAGAGTCTCCAGATGTTCACATCTTTCAAGAATACCTGACATTGTGAGTTATAATCAGAAAGGTACATAGTTGTATGATAAATAGATGTAGTCTGTGAACACTTAAACGTGGAATATAAATATTGAATTGCTTTCCAAGTTTTAGACATCGTCAAGCAATGGAGAAGAGACCTTAACAATATGATAGTGTTTTATGATTCTATCTTACTTTATAAAATTTACTTCACTCTTAGTAGTCATAAATGAAATCAGTGAACTCGAGTCTTCCTAGACAATCTCTATCTACAGAAATGAATTTTGATTGGCACAGGCAATTCTGAAGTCTATCAAATTGTCCCCGCCTAAAAATTATTACATTATTACTATACCTCTTCGAGTTCATTGTAGTACTTGGTAGAACTACATAAAGCTATAACTTAATTCCCCCACAAAAAGTTCTCAATAGCATAATACTTTTCTATCCAGACTTTTAAGCTTTATCAATACAGTTTAGATAAAACTTTTCCTCAGTCTGGTGAGTTACCCAAGGTCTGTTGGTGATACTGGTAGTGATAAAGTTGGATTTATTGGTTCAGATAACTTGTTTCCATTCATATTTTGTACAATGTAGTTGTTTCTGGCACCAATAGACCTACTTCAGCTTATTATTACTTCATATATACCATTTATTGAATGTTAGAAACAGTTAAACTTCTTGGGTAGAATAAAAGCAAATAACTATAAAAACTTAACTAAAAAGTGTTAACAATTGTGACTTAAGAGGCATGATCATATATCTATCTTGAGTAAACTATGCGATATTAGAAGGATTTCGCGAGCACATTTTATAAGGAGTAGTACAGTTCGAAGGTAGATTGGTAGAGGTTCTGTTCTTTGTTTCTTCTAAGTGAGGTGTATGGGCGGTAGCCCCTATATATACAGGAGTGTGCCAACTCATCTTAAAAGAAATATATTCTGGAGAAACGTAAGTAAGAATTCGTTTTTCAATAGAAAAAAATAAGAGTAACCGTATTTGACCCTAAAAACCTGCCAAGAAAAATCCCAAAGGTGCGTATAAATCTAAGATGGTATGTGGGAAATATTAGGGAAATATATCAAATCTAGTATATAATCAATGTACAGAAATGTGCATAAAAGATAAAGAAAATCTCATTTATTGCATAACTAAATAAGAAAATAACGCATAAATTTCCTGTCTATATTCAATGAAATATTTATAAGATTAACATAAATATAATCCAGCTGTAGTAATGTCTGCAGTATACAGGTTTTAACTGAAACATAATCAAGTAAGTGAAAATACAATGTTTATTATTAAATATATTGAAATGTAACATAGGAAAGAAATTTCAACAAAAAGAATAAATATAATCATCAGTAATTAAAAGGGTTTTGTCTGGTTGATGAAGAGTTATACCTAGTATTGATAGGTATTTTAGTATTTATCTAGACCAATGCTGAAATGGACGGACATGTAACCGAGGCTCCCTCTGGGAAGATAGATCCTGAGTTTGCAACTACACCAAAATGAATTCTTCTGCAAAAGTAAACAAAAATAATAAATGTCAAAGTCTTAACAGTAGAGTTTGAAGAAACAAAATGGTAAAACTTAAAATTATTAAGCCACAGCTTTACTCGATTAAGTCCCAATATCGAGAGGTAGTTGATTACGAGAGTAGAGGAGAACTCGCATATACTTAAGTAGATTTCATATACTACCAGTTGTTCCCCATCACTACTCTGTATTTGCGAGCACTCAATCCTCTTGGACTGCCTAGTTAACCTCCACGAGTCAGACCAAAGATTCTCCGTAGTGAACTAGACAGTTTTGTGGTTTACTAACATCCACCCAATAGAAGTATTTTAGCTTCTGCATCTA